TATTTTTCTTGACCTTATGGATAAAACATCCAGTTTTTCACTATTAAGTATAATGTGGAGATTTTAGATGCCTTTTATCTTGTTGAGGAATTATCCCTAATTTGATAAGTATCTTAATCATGAACATTGTTGAGCTTTGTCTGCATCTACTGAGATGACATGTACTATTCATTTTTTATTCAACTATTTATCTACTGTTTATTTTTTATTCAACTCATACACTATTTTAGTTTTATTTATTTTTAGATGCTATTCCATTCCTGTGATAAATCTTATTTTTAATGGCTTTATAGTATTATTTAGTTTAAGTCATTAGTATTTGTTGGGAATTTAATATATATATTCCCAGAGGACATTGATCTGTGGTTTTCTTTTCTTGCAATGTCTTTATCTGGTTTTATGATAGAGTAATGCTGATATTGCAGGATAAGTTGGCAACAATTGCTTCCTTTTCTATATTTTTGAAGTTTGTCAGGCATGGAAATCAATCCTTTTTCCAATGTTTAGTATAATTCACCTTAAAGCCACTTATGCCTAGAATTTTATTTGTGGGGCATCTTAGAAAGTTATGAACTTGAAACTCAGAGTAAAAATATAGAGCAAAATAAAAAACACATAACTTGGAGGCTGAGGCAGGAGAATCTTGCAAGTTCGAGACCAACTTGGGCTACAAAGCAAACTTGAGACCAGCCTGAACTGCATAGTGAGATACTGTCTCAAAAACACACACAGAATTGTAGATACTAGGAAACAGAGAGATAGGGAAGAGGATCTAGAGGTGGACGGGGTAGGGAGAGGGGATCAAAAAAGGAATAGGGATGTGTATGTACATGTACCAACTCCACACAAAGTATATAATCATTTTTCACTGTCAAATTGTGCCAACAAAAATAAAAATTTAACAACAATAAAATAATATCTGAAAAAATTATTTACTCTTTCTTGTTTAGAATATTCAGGATTTTTATGTCTTCTTGAGTGAGTTTTGATATTTTGGTATTTATCATTAATTTGTTGGCATACAGTTAACAATAGCATTCTCATAATTTCATTATCGTAAACTCAGTAGGGATAGTTCATCTCTGATTTTATTAATAGAAATCATTTTTTTTTCTCGCAGGGTTGAGGTAGGTTTTTTAGTCAATTTTATTGATCTTTTTAATAGCATTTTTCTAAGGTACAAATAAAAATCTGTTGAGAGGAGAAAAAAGGAAAGGACAACATCTCTTAAACAACTATCTGAATATCTGATTGCAGGAAGTATTACTGACAAAGGAATCATACTTTCATATTCTACTATGAATAATTAGAATCACAGCCCAAATACAGGAAGAGATGAATCATAGTCAAAATGATGTGATTTGAAGAATTATACATTGCTCATGAGACTTTAGTGAGACGATCAAAAATCTCTTCTTTCACATTGTGATACACGCATATATTTACACACGGGACAGAGATCTCTCTGTGAAGCTATGCTCTATTTCACCACAGCTACAAGTGCAGTGGAAGGCATGTTTGACTGGGAGGACAGTGAGGTGTTCTCTTTGGCTTGAGGACTGGACGAGATGAGTGTGTAGCTGAATGAACTATGGCTAGCCCTCCCAGAGTGTGGCTAGAAGTGGGAGGCAGACGTGTGGTGAACAACAGGTTTTGCAGCTAGTAAATAATTGGGTTTGTTTTGTTTTATTAAAAGAAGCAACTGTCCAGTGTGCACATGTGAGGAGAGGTGTGGGATGAATAGAACTTGAACCACTAGCTAGAGAAGAGCAGGGGGTGAAAGACAAAGAGAACAACCATCAGTGTGGCAGCTGTGAGTACACTGTGTCTAACGCGGCCTTACTGCGTATTGTCCCAGGTAATAACTCTGCTCTCTATTCTCAGGACACTTGCAATACAATCTACTTTAATTGTTAGGCTTTAACGGGTTTGGGTGAGACATGCTTGATTTTTGACGGATGTGTGTCAGAGATGAGATCATTAAAATTACTTGCTGAGTTTGGTAGAACTCTAGGCCTCTCTCTGCAGAGGTCCTCAAGGGGTGAGGGTAGCATGGGTATGACCTGCCTCCTCTATGATTAGTACACGTCCCTCGTTCATTTTTTAATGTTTTGTAACTTTTTAAAGTCTCACTTTAGAAAGCAACTTTCACTTCTAAGAGCTTTTGTCTGAAAAACTTGGAGCTAAATGATTTTAAAGCAATTGCTGTGACATCATGGAATAGAAGAGGTTATACAGGTCAATCAGAAGATACATCTAATCTTTTACATTTTCCAGTGTTTTTTTTTGTTTAAGTAATAGATAGGGAAGAAATAGGGGGGAGGGTTAAATTGAAAAAGTGACACATCAGAGTCTTAAAAAGGGATGGTTTATTTCTGCCATTTATCAACACTGGCTTTCACCTTCCTTCTTTGTCTAACAGAAGCTTTGGCATTGCTTTTATTTTCATATTGGCCTTCCGTGGCATTTTCTTTTGTCATTCCTACAAAACTTAGCAGTAAGAGAGAGATTAGTAGCCCATTAAACTGATCCAAGAAGATAAAACTCAATGGTCCTCTTTGTTTTTCAACTATGTTGAATAAATTCCTTCCGAGGCTGTGTGCTAAGAATGAGAACAGTAACAACAACTTTATGTAATGTGATAGAAGCTTTTCCATCTGACCTTCACTGACTCTTCAGAATGATTGCCCCCAAAGGCAAGCTGATCAGCAGAGCTAGGTATTTCCCAAAGACAGATTGTGTTTGTAAACTTATTTGTGTCAGCTGTATTTGCTATCATAGCTACACGTCAGTTAAATACTACATGAACAGATGAACTATGGAAGTTGAATAAAAATGATTATTTCTATAGGTCATATTTGAGTTGTTTGAAAGATAAATTTGATTCATCCATTGCATTGAACTATTATAACACACAAGCATGAGAAAATTTTCATGGTTAATAAATATAAACATCTAATGTATTTTTGTCAGTTTCACAAGTATTATTAGTTACTATACTTAAAACATAAACTGGAAACTGTTGGATGGGACCTTATGAACTTACATGGCAAACTCCAGTTAGAGAGATTGACTTACTGAAAGAAAAAAATATCTTTTTTATTAATATATTGAAAAATGAATGTTCATTAATTTAAGTAGCAGAGTTTAATTTATGTTCTTAAATGATTTTTCTGTATTCTTTTTATTCTATTTATTTTTTATTTTATTATTTTTAGTTAACTTACCAATTCTCTCTCCGCTAGGATAGGAGAGCTTTGGAGATAGTTTTTTTGTTTTTGTTGTTTCTTACTTTTTGCAGGCATTTTTTGCTTTATCAATGCCTTACTTGAACAACTTTAAATAATAGTATAACTTCCATTTCATAGATGAAGCATCTCAAGTGTTTATAAAGGTTAAAGGATCACCTCAAAATCACACAGAGCACATATGGTAAGACATAAATGAAGAGACTATCAGAATCTCAAAACAAAACTTCTTCTAGACAAAATTCTTAAATTGTAGTAAGCATTCATGTAAAATATTGATCTATTGAACAAGATTGGGGACTAGATCCAAAAGATATGAAAATATTTTTTTAAATACATACATTTCAAAATACATACTTTTAAAGTAGTAAGAGGATGAAACAATTAAAAGGGATAGCCACAAGGCCGGGGATATAGCTCAGTGGCATAAGTGGAAGCCTGGCAAGTGCAAGGTTCTGAGTTTGATTCCTAATGCAACCCCCCCCAAACAAAAACAAACAAAAAGAGATTGCCATAATAAAATGTGGAAAAGACTAAGTACCACAAGAGAGCTACAGATCTCTTCTGTGAAGTTATAGGGTGGATAGGGAAAGACTGAATATGTAAGTCATATAGTCTCTGTTTTCTAAATGTTTAAAATGCATATAGTAAGACCTTTGCAAAGGGCAGTTTGAGTTGTAGTTCATTTAGTAGAAACAGCATAAAATAAGTGTTCAGCACATGGTGCCTACCCACCAGGCTGGTTAAGTTATTAGATCTGCTTTCTTAGTTGTCCTCTGACCCCAAATTTGGTTCTGTTACTTGATCTTTTTTTGATTGCATGCAAGCCTAAGCCCTTTGTTCAATCCTCAAAGTCAGTGAATTCAAAATAAAAATGATCAAATTAGTCTTTCTTTCTTTCTTTCCTTCCTTCCTTTCTTTCTTTCTTTCTTTCTTTCTTTCTTTCTTTCTTTCTTTCTTTCTTTCTTTCTTTCTTTCTTTCTTTGTGTGATACTGAGGATTGAACTCAGGGCCTTATATGTGCTAAGCAAGCACTCTAACACTTAGCTACATTCCCACCTAAATTAGTTTCTTTATGGAGGTCAGTGAACTTTTTCTCTTTCAGCTTTCTGTGCTGGTACTATGTGGACATAAGATATGAGAACCGTCTACTAAATTAACAGTGTTCTAGGGGACTGGAAGAAAAGTCAGCCAGGAATGAAAGAGAATGCTCACTTTCTGGAGAGATTTTAAAATTCATTTTATTGACCAAAATATGGCATGAGATAAGTAATCTTCCCTGATGTCTAGCATTTATTCCAGTGCTTTGTGGGAAACAAATACTTATTACATTTTTTTTTTCTTCTTACTTCATGTAAGTTTTTACTTGCTTCTCATTGGGGAAAAATATTGCCAATTTCCTGTTACTTTGGTGCAATTTCTACATTTTCTCTGTTGTGTTCCCATCAGTTTTGGTTCATGATTGCTCAGAAGTTTGTTCTCCATTTTTGTCATCAAGATGATAATTCATTGCTGTATTTCACATTCACAGATGAATTCAGTAAGATGGGATCCAAATGCATATTTTATGATGTTTAAAGTTAGCTGTTTGGAGATTTAAAATTTGATCACCTGGGAAACTCAATTTAAAACTTGAGTCAAGTTAACAAAAAACGATGTTGGAAGTGTACATTTAATGCTAACCACAGACTCCAGACAGAGACCTCATTAACTTGTATAGTCTCATTTCTTTAAAAGTTTAGTCATAAAGGATCACTTTCAGTGTTTCTCTGATTAACACTGAAAAAAGAAACCAATGTCATTACCTATTTCCCTCAACTTTCTAGGTAGATATTTTGCAGTTACAAGAATTGTTTGTTTATGAAGCAGTTGGAGAAATGATTGTAATCCAGAATAAGGGTAAATGATGAATGCTAACAAGTAATTCACCATTGTCTTACCAAAAGAAAAGCAAAGTTCTGAATGGTGAATGAAAGAGACCTACGCAGAAGAGAGAAATAACAACTCAAGGTTGCTAATGAAAAAAATCAGTGCATTGCAGAGGGAGAATGGCAACCCTTAAGAGCCTGGAAATTGGCAATAACTCCTAAAAACTCCAAGTGAATAAATGCTCCCACACAAGAATATTCTTCAGTTCTGCTGTTGTCTCCTAGTTGCTGCGATTATCATCATCATCACCATCACCATCATCATCATCACCATCGCTAACATTAACATGATCATGGGTGCTAACAGCTTTTTAGGTGAGTATTCACATATTTCAAAAACATTATTAAATTTCAAATACTTGTTGCTTTCAGAAAGAATAATCTCAACTCCTTAGTGTTTTGATTACTATATCACTGTCCAACCTTCGCTGCCTGAACAGCTCCCCTCTGATAGTTCTTCAAGGTCTTCTGCTTAAGAACACAGAACTGGACTTGAAATGGCAGCAAATGTCTGTCACTTCTATCTTAAGAGCCTGCCTCATATATTTTCTACAATCTAAAATGGCCTTATATTTTTCCTAAGAGCAATTGAATGTATTGCTGCTATTTCAGAGAAACAATTAAGAAAAGGGAAATCTTTTGGGGTTTTCAGGGATAAGGCAGTTTTTAACTGAAATTTTCAAATCTGAAAATACATTACCTTCAAGTTTTATATAGATTGATTAATTAATCAACTTATCTTAATTTGAGCTCACATTTTTATTTCAATTGCTAGTGAAGGTAAGTTGTAATCTTAAATATAATCTATCCTCCATCTCCATTGGTTTCTTCCTTTTCTGGTGTAAAAAACACAAAGTTGGTTCAATTCTTTTGTTTATGACAATTTCATTTTGATTACCCTGTGGTGAGTTACTAGGTCAGAGAATCACTATGCTCGACATTGCAGGCAGTTTCCTGATGCTTTCTTGATGATGTACCAAGATGCTTGCTGAACAACAACAAAAAGCTGCTCAGATAGGAAACTTTAGAGAGATTAGGTTTTCCTGTTTACATAGTTTAGACAACAGCTCTGTTTTGACACACTGGTTTTTATTTTTGTGATGCACCAGAATTGATTTTGTTTTAACACTTTAAAATAACGATGCACTATAAAACCCAGTTTTCAACTGAGTAGGATTTATTCTTGCTTTCCAGGCAAGACAAATGCAATCAAAGTTTTGAGCTAATTTCAAATAGAAATTAATAGGATTCCATACTTCCTTCATCTGCTTGGTTTCTGAAGTCTAGTTGATACTTGGTCTTTTCTGACTACATACCTGTTACCTTTTAATCTGTTAGCCAACACATGGTCTAAGTCAGCAATTTGGGCTAGAGCCCTGTCTATATCAATTTTTGCTTATGGATACAAATTGTTCTCGAACAAATTGTGGGAACAAAGTACTTTGCTTAATTTGACACTCTACTTGTGGTTTCTAGGTGTTAAAAACATTTTCCCCAATAAGGGAACACCCAAAATACATGTAATCAGCACTTTGGTAATGATATAAAAAAATGAATGGATTGATTTTTTTCTGGATAATTTTTGAACTTGGAAACATAAATTCTACAAAAGCTTAAGCTAGTGTTGTTTTGAGTTGTATTTCCATGTGTTCTATATATAAGCATAATTTATGTGCAGCAATGTTACATATCAAAAATATAATAAACAATATCTTATTGATACTTCAGAAACAAATAAATTTGATGAAGTCCCATGAACAACTTTTAATTCAGAGAGTTAAAATGTTATTTAGATATGAGTCATTATTTTAGTAAGAAGAATTAAACTGGTCACTTAAGAGGAAATAAGGGTTAACTACATGGGGAATTCTGGTTCTAAAGGATGAAAATGAATCATTATCAGTACTCAAGGACCAAGCAAAAGATTATCATGGAAAATAATGTTGTGTCCTGAATAGCAGAGTATAAAATTCTTTAGCAGTATTTTTCTGTAATTTGCTTCATGTTTGCAGAAGTAATTCCATAATAATTTTAATTCATTCTCTATCTCAATAAATGTTTTGGAGAAACTTTGTAGAGTTGGAAATGGGTCAGCCCAATTACTTTGGTAATTTGTAATTGTACAGTACATTCCCATCAAAGTAGGTCAAGTCAGACTCCTGCTAAATGCACTGACACTAAACTCTAACAATAAATATCTGTGTAGCATTTAAGAACAAGGAGAGAAGAAGTTAGATTTGCATTGCCCTATGAATTACAATCCATTCAAATTTAATTGGATTCTAGTAAGGATAGTTTAGAGGAGTGTTAGATATACTCGATCAGAGAAATACTTCTTATTTGAAACCATAATTTTAAAAAATGAAACAAAAGATCTGATGGAATATGATAAAAAAGATAACTTATTGTATAAAAATGTTCAATTTCTTGAAAACCAACAACATCGATAGGTAAATTTGATATTGTTCTTACTAAAATTTACCAAATCTATGATGTTCTCTTTCATGGTCCTCATTAATTTTTACATGCAGGTTTAAAGTCTCTGTCTCACTGATGGATGACGTGTGGTTCATAAAGGTAGATGTGGGAAAGACAGAAAGTTGTTTTCCAGATAAGACTAAACAGTTGCATTTACTTAGCACCTGAAACTCTTAGTCCATCAATTTAAGCAGACTTTCTCTAACAAACCATAAGTAAACATTGCACTACCATGAACACTGCTGTAAAAAAAAAAAACTACATGGTTAGCAACAAAAATGGCAAAAAGAAAGACTGCTTGTGTCTTAATCTGTCCTTGAAAACTTCCTGCAGAAAAAATAAGAGCAGAAAAGAAGAAAATACAGTAATAGACATTTTCAATGTCTAGGTATTTCATTACTTTCCAATTTCCCATAAAAATAAACACTTTGGGTTCCAGTACCCAAATGTGTTACATTATATTTTCTAGAGTTTACAACTTTGGAGGTTAAAATCTGTTCTGGATTTCCCAGACAAACATTTTAAGTGACAGTATTTGAATTATACTATGTTATTGATTTATTTGGATCTTATATCCTTGCCATTTAAATCAGACTAGATTTTTTTTCTGAATGTCACTGAAAAGAAAACTAGAAACTTGTCTGCAGTTGTTTCTAAATGGTTAAAGTATTGACCTGGACTGTAAAAGCAGGACCGCGTGTGGCTTGGAAACAATCTTTGATTTTTATCTGAAAAGTCTTCAAAACAAAATGCAAGTGTGCCTCTCCTTTTTTTCTAGTTGATCTGCTATTTATGCATTTTAGTTGTCTGTCTGATTGTGTTCAGATGTGGGTAAGTGGTTGGGAGGAAAAATAAGGCTTCTTAACTCTGAGGAAAAAAGACCTCAAATTGTCTGTGTCTCATATAATTTGTGATCTGCCCTCATTGTGCACCATGACATGGAATAGATTCTGCTACTTTGGTGTTTACATCTTCGAAGCCAATGAGAGTGGGGATGGAAAAGGGAGAAGAAGGTGTTAAGGTTTCAGAGCTATCTGGAGAGGAAAGAAGGGAATTTCATCACTGTAATGATGTCTTTCTAGAAGAAATTGATTTGAGGGGAAATCAAATCACTTGCTGTTGGCCATTGTTATGGTATTAATCTTGTTTTTCTCTTTTCTTTTCTTTTCTTTTCTCCTGCCAAGAGCAAGCAGATTGCAAATAGGTGAGCTAAGCAAGGAGTCTCAAACATTTGTAGCAAAGTTATCTTGATGAGCTGAGAAAGAAAGACCACATATGAAGACACTGAAGTATCACATTCTGTCTTAAATTCTATGCACTGTTATAAATAAAATGAAGCAAAATCTATACATTGTTTTGGCTTGTAAACATGAAGTTTTTCTATCTGTATAAATAAATTTATATAGATACTATGTGTAATTTTACATGACTATGACATTAAACATGCCATTTCAACACAGTTGTCTTCATTCACTCATTCATTCATTCACTCATTGTTTCTTTTTACTTGCCTTTTCAACCACAATTACCACATACTCCTTAAATTTAGGTCAGTAACTTAGTGTGCATTTTCCATATTTTTTTCATATTACCATAGAATAATATACTACATATCAATAAGATGTAGACATTACACATATAAATATGTGCAAACGCAAGCACATACATTTGAAGTCTTTTATTTAGCTAAAATCATATCATATCTTATGATCATAGGATCACATCTTACAAAGTTACTTGAGCCTGACTTTATGCACCCAAAAATGCCTGATGGGAGTTTATCTAAACAAAACAAAATCGTTACTTCTGAAGTCGCTCTCTTTTTTTTTATACAAAGAAAAGCACGGTTTTCTACAGTATGAATATGTTATAATGAATGCAATTACTCTCTACCAATGACCTTTCTTCCTCTTATTTACACTGATATCACCAAATGGGACTTTTGGGTTGAAAACTTCAAATATTGATAAACCTTGCAATTCTGAACTTTTAAATCCTCATATGGATTCACATCTTAACATTGTATATTAGAATAAATAGAAAGTTCTGAGTACCTGGTAGTCCCAATGTGGTTAAAGCATGGAGGGCACCAGCATGGGCATTGCCCACAGCCTGGGAGATCTGCAGACCTGCAGTCCCACTGCAGCCCCATCTAGATCAGAATATCCATTTGAATGATGCTCGTAGGTGATCCAAAGCACTTTTCCATTGAAAAGTTACTCTTTTAAGTCATTTTCAGTTTGTTAAGTTGGGGATACATCTACCAAATGTCTTCTCTGGTAGAATCAGTAAGAAATTAGCAACAATGATCGAAGCTTGGGTGGAGAACTATGGAACTGACAGGGCAACCCAGGAATGGAAATTTACTTCTTACCACATTTGTGTAATGAACTTTTTCTTACCTGCTTGACAAAATTTTAAGAGTCACATTTTGCAAATGCAACCACTGCTTTCCACCTGCAAATCTTCAGGGAGAAAGTAGTCTGGGGGGTATACTCTTCACACATCACTGCTGATGTTATCATGATCGCGTGGTCCTATTTAAGAAATGTGACGCTAAGCGAAAATTCTCAAAGCCACATAGCCTGCTTTTTGAGGATATGAAAAAAATGTTGTGATGTCAGTGAGGGTTTATCAAGCAGGGAACCTTTGGTGGGGCAGACAGTGAGTCAGTGTCATAGGAAACTTTCAAACTTTTTTTCTGCATATTCCCACAGCTTGAATTGTGACCACTACTTCACAGTTTAGTTTGCAATGATATAAAAATTTTCAAACACCAGAAATTTCCTTTAAAAATTATATTTATTTACTGGTACTGGGAATTGAACTCAAGATCTTACAGTTACCCAGGCAGATACTTATGCCTCTGAGCTACATCTCCAGCCCAACCAACTCAATTTCTTGAAATACAAGAAGTTTCAGCTTTACTGAGATTCACAGCCCTGACAAAAGGGCATGGGACAGTTTGGTTGTAGGACCTGCAATTAGGTGTCCTTGCTGACACCCTGGTGGGGTGAGGTTTGAAGGCATAGGTGAGGAAACACTGGCATGTTAGGTCAGAAATGGAACATCTTCACTACCTTGCTAGTTCCTGAACATCTTCCTAAGAGCAGAAGGTTAAATATGAATCTTTAAACCTTGTTTCTTCAGGTATCGCTACCTTAGGGATCAAAATGACTTTACTAAAAAGCTAAGGATTCAGATTTCTCTGGCCCTTGAACTTATCCACTCTCTTAGGACCACTGACCTCATAAAACATGTTGCCAAAGTATTATGAGGACTTGTGATTGGAGGAGGATTATACTCATGTGTTCACAAACAAACCTAGTTTCTAGGAGAGTCTGCTGTCTTTTAATTTTTGCTGAGTATGACCCCTTCTATGGGCAGTAGCAAGCCTTCCAGGAATGTTTTCCTTCTGCAGAGCATTTTCTTTGTTCAGATGGAACTTGTCTCAAGTCGGAGCCATAGTGGGCAAAGAAGAGTGTTCAGAGATGCCCAGCATTCTTCTAGATGGAGAAAAAGAACTTAGTCTCTTTTTTTTGGGTGCTATTATATTGGAGAGGTACCAAGCTCCAGAGTGTTAGCAAAGTGGCCTTTTAGCATTTACTTGATTCCCTTTTACTTGATTCCCTTCTTTTTTGGGGCCATAGGTATATAGAGAAATTTGCTAGAAGACAAAAGAAAATACACGTGGCTACAATGCTATCACAGAATGAGCTTCGGGGATTCTAGCTTGTTCTATGCTCGTGATGCATTTTATCCCTGGAGTTTAGCTCCTGTATATAAGTTCCTGAGCCTCAGATTAAAGTTGACAGAGGGTTTGTTCCACTCTTAGTGGAAACTTGAGGTTAATGGAAGGCTTATTGCTTGAATTTCTCAGAGCCCCAGTACATAAATAAAAGGGTTTCATGACTAAGCAAACACCATCTACTCAGCTTGCGAGGGGCTGTTAGATGCAGAAGGTTCCACAGGAAGGCCATAGCTGCTTCCTCTCTGCTCTTGCTCTCTCTGGAGTAGAAATAGAGAGACGCTCCACTTCCACAAAGGAAAGAACAGCAGTCATCTCTCCTGGGAAGTCAAGAGAGGCGAATGTTCACCTTTCTCAGGTCCAGGAATGCTGCAGAGCTGCTCCCGTGTGCAGCTCAGATGCACATGTGTTTGGTATCAGTGGCTGGGTCCAGAGATAGAAGTAGGGAAGAGACGAATGGAAGAGAACAGAGAGCTGTCTTTCCCTCTGCAGTCCACTAGACTTGGTACTGGGGGCTTTAGGAGATCCATTTTAGGTTTGGCAAAGTCTTATTCAGCACAAAAGAGTAAAGTGGATATAATAATAGTTGTGAAAAAGGGTCCCAGGTTTACGGGAAACACATCTTTTGACCAGGCTTTCTGGTCCCTGGGAATTTCTGCAAGAAGAAGAAACTACCTTATGATACGGGTCTGCAGCCAGTTCAGAAATAGATCCAACAGTGTGTTTCAGATCAACAGTTTTATTACAAGTAATATTTGAATAGTTAGTAATTGCTGTCACAATGACCTTATTCTGCTCCTAATAATAGGGGAAAAGGTGGGTACAGGAAGCTGTGGTGGCTTTTCATTTCAATTTAGTCTTGCAGGAAAAACTGAGACCTGGGTAAAAGTGCATTGCTAAACATCCTGTAAATACACAAGAACATACAAACAAATGCACAAAGCCTCAAGGGACTGCACAGTGTGTTTGTGTGCTTATTCTTGGGGCCTGTCCTACTTCAACACTTCCAGGTTTTTTTAAGGCTGAACCTCATCCCATGCATATGTGCAAGATCTTTCTTCTTCCCTTTTGTCTAGCGTGGGCAGGAGGTACAGGCAATGAGACCATGAGCTGTACAGCAGCTGACTTCTATCCAGCTGTACACCCTTAGAATCCTAGAGGTCAAGTGTCTGACAGAATTGCAGGACAACAGTTGGGGAAGCTGTTGTTGATTTTCTTTCTTCAAATTTTTAAATTTGTTCACTCACATGGTCTAAATGTACAGGTATGCTGGATGGAGGAGCTATTTCAGGTCTTATGTGCATGTTTGGGTGGCTCATGAACTGCAAAGTTTGGCCAGTTGGTGAGAGAACACAGGCTGAACTCTTTTTGTGATTGCTGGATCCTAGCATGGCACTCTAGTAGAATGAAGGAAGGGAAACCTTTTTATAATTTTCCTTTCCTTCGTGAGGCTACTCGGAGGCACTGGATCAGCTAGTGGCAGCCTGGCTACATGGTTTTAAACTATGAAGCCCTGACTTTGGAACCTCTTCTCTCAATGTCAAGGTCGGCCTTTTTCTTATTTGCTTAAAGTGACTCAGTTTGGGAAGTATGAGAGGGGGCACACACAAGTCCCATAGATATATTTATTTGGGTTGCACAAAGATGGGCCATATAGTGTTAGAGAATAATTAAATTAATTATCAATATTTAAAATTGAGGAGATTTTATAAAAAAAATCTCAATTTATAGCCAATAGCATTCAGTAACAGCTAGTTGGGTACACAGGCCTTACTGTGACCCAAAACCTCCCTAGCTCTGAGGATGAAGATTAAGTCTTGTTCATTTTAGTATTTGTGTTCTGTTTTCTTTTAGAAGACATTAAGAGAAAAATAAAAAATATCTTGCATTCTCTTCAAAAGTGTAAACATTAAAAAGTAGACTGAATCATTTTTTTTAAATGAGGCACAATACTTACTTTCAAGTTTTTTTCATATCTCTAACATTTGTGTTTTCACCCCAGGCTTTTCTATCAAATAGTCTCATGACTAAGCAGTTAGAGAAATCTTAGAAATCCAGACATAATTCATACCCCTTCATTTGGCCATCAAATCAGACTACTACACTTATAGAAATAGTGTTGATTTATGGAGACACTTTAGAAGGGAGGGCTTTGCTTAGGAAGTATATTCTGGAGGTTCATCTTTCCACTGTTATTTGACAAATAGTTTAGATTTTGTCTTAGTCTATCTTTTCTATATCTATCATATAATTAGTCATATGATATTGACTAATTTATACAGAAGACATATATTTGTTCCACAGTTCTGGAGGTAGGGAGTCCAAGATCAGATGACTCAGCGTAATGAGGGCCTCACGATGTGTCATAATGTGGTGGGAAGCATGACATGGATGAAATGTGTACGGAAGAGAGACAGACAGAGAGACAGAGAGAGAGACAGAGACAGAGAGACAGAGAGAGGAACAATGCTAGCCAGACATACATCACAACAACTTGGATGTCATTGTAACTATTGCAGTCCTGGGAAAATAAGAACTCTTACCTTCACAAGAAATCATTAATCCACTTAAATGACCATTTCAGTCACATTTTTAAAGGCATCACCTCCCAACACTGCCAACCTAGGGACAAGGGCTTAACACTAAGTTTGAAAGAGACAAACCCTCTTTCAAACACTAGGTTTGAAAGAGACAAACAGACCTTTCCTG